ATTTGTTTTACTGTAATCACTGTATTATTATATAATTCCGCTGTGGTTGATTTGTTTCAATGAACTGGTGTAAGATATAATGAGGAACGATGAAATATATGGATGTTCAGTGTGTTTTGTGCACAACTGTTTTCACTCTAATCTTATTCATATACTAAGCTTTTATCATACATCTATTACTAAAATTAAACATTTTAGGGATCAAATATTGATTAGACTGGAATAATCTAACACAAGCCTACACAGAGAAACACTTCCGTCAGTAATAACTGACGTTGTTGTGTGCAGCCGTTAGTGCTGTCCAAATTGTGATATGGTTATCTATCTTTGTAAATCGATATAGATGTGAACTTAGTCCGGTGGTTGGCTGGATTAGCAGCCACTTAAGTTTCCTGCTAGCGGCTACAGTCTTTATTTATGGCAATGGGTGAAATCGATTAGAACCGTTCAGGAAGTATTACTTTTCTTGAAGGTTACAGACACACTTCCATATCACATATGGATAGATTCATAATAAGATAAGTCAAGGTCAACCTGCAGGCGGAATCTAATCAAGAAATAAGAAGAAGAGGGATTACATAATGTAAATCTAATCCAAGCAGGCTGTATATATATATATATATATATATATATATATATATATATATATAAAATATGTATAAAATCAGCCGAAGTATTTTGAATTTGTCATACATTTAATTGAACTACTAACAAGTAGTATAATAATTAACTGGAAAAATATTAAGCTTCTAAGTGTATACAAATTAAAGTACTCGAAGAGTAAAATCTTTCGTTTTGTTTGCGTTTTCCAAAGCCTAAGTAAAAGTAGATGGAAATGAAATTATTGGCTTTGTATAACAGTTCACACCATATGAGTCTTGCTTGACAAATTTATAAACAATTAACAGATTATCAAATGATAGAAGACATAGTCATACCATATAACTGACAATGATGAGAATAAGACATACTTGGACAGGTATAATTTAACCACATAATTTAGTATAATAAAATTTTTGGATAGAATTTTTACTTGTGAACATTCTAAAACTAATCTGTAACGCACTATGGCAACTTATTACATTGCAATTCTGTTTCTGCTTAAAGTTTTAGTTCAGGTGAATTGTTCAGAAAATTTAATCGATGGGCACATGATATGACTTCACTGCTCACTAAATAGGATGAACGTCTATCATACTCTTATGAATTTCACTTCAATAAGTAGCAAGGGTATATGATATCCTGTGTACCTACGCTTTGAGCGGTAAATAAATCCACAAAACAAATAGTTTTATGATTCTTCAACATGACCTTATTAGTTTACTAAACAACACCCTAGATGAAGACATTCGGGTGGACATCAGCACCAAATAACCTCTTGGGTACGTCGTGATACGGATCTCTCGTAACAAATAAATAGCTGAGACTACTCACATGTCGACGTGCTGACTATTCATCAAATATGATTTCGACATTCATTCCTGACTTCTGGATTGAATGGTTTTTGATATTATCAATTGTACAGGTGTTACGGATAGAACACGCTTCAACAGCCCCTCTGGGGCTGCTGCTTGTCCCAAATCCGAATAAAGGAGGAGGTTTGTGCATGGGGTTAGCTACCGAATCCCACCAAAAAAACTAACTCGCTAAAAAACGCCGACCAGAAAACATAACTCAAACCATTTTAACTCTGCCTTGGGAGTTAGAAGGTCTTCTTTTGAAAGAGTGATGACGTTTCGTGATGAAAGCCGAATACCATCGGAAGTCACGAGGTCTACGCTCCTTTTGACAACCAGAGCAACCATTTTTTTAGGTACATGGAACGTTCGTACATTGTGGATGACTGGAAGACTATTTCAAGTTGCGGCAGAAATGAAAAGATACAACCTCGAGGTGCTCGGCTCAGTGAAACGCATTGGACACAGGTAGGACAACTGAGACTACCTTCAGGGGAACTTCTGTTACATTCTGGTCATGAAGGGGAGAACACTTCACATACACAAGGAGTTGGACTAATGCTGTCCAAAGAAGCAAGAAAGGCGCTTATAGGATGGGAATCTCATGGACCCAGGATCAATAAAGCATCCTCCATAACAAAGAAGGAAGGCATTACAATGAGCGTCATCCAATGCTATGCACCTACCAATGACTACAATGACGACGTTAAAGATCAATTCTACGACAGGCTGCAGTCAATCGTCGATAAATGTTCACCAAAGGATTTAACGATTCTTATGGGAGACCTGAATGCCAAGGTTGGAATGGACAACACTGGATATGAAGACATCATGGGACGACATGGACTGGGAGAAAGAAACGAAAACGGTGAGAGATTTGCAAACCTATGTGCCTTCAACAAACTGATCATCGGCGGCACAATATTCTCACACAAGCGCGTACACAAAGCTACATGGATTTCACCGGATCACACTACTCAGACCATATCTGTATCAATGAAAGGTTCATAAGGGCGATGGAGGACGTGAGAACTAAGTGAGAAGCTGATATTGCCTCAGATCACCCCTTTCTGGTCGCCGAAATAAAGCTGAAACTCAAGAAGCAAATGATAATGGGGCATATAACATGAAAAAATTTAATACGAACTTTCTCGAAAGCTCAAAAAATCCAAGACAGCCCTCAGCAATAGGTCCCATACATTTAACGATCTACTCAATGGAGAGGGGGACATCATGTAGAACAGTTGTAAAGGGATCAAGGAGGCAACAAGAAGTACCACTACAAAAATGGATCACTGTTGGAACTCTGATACGATTCAAAAAAGGAGTTAGAAGGCAGCAGTCAACATCAGCAGAACAAGATCAGAGAAAGCCAAGGAATAAGCTGAATACTCAGAAGGAACAAACAAGTGTAGAGCACTATCAGAGCCAACAAACAGAAATGGGTTTAAGATACAGTAATGACGTTTGAGAAGGCTGCAAGAGAAGGTAACGTGAGACACTTGTACGATACAACAAAGAATCTCAGTGAAAATTATCGTAAAGCAGAAAGACCAGTGAAAAGCAAGGAAGGCAAAGTAATCTGCAACAAAGCACTTAGGCGGTTCACTTTAATGAAATCTTAAATCCACCAGCCCCATTGAAGCAGCATTTTTGGACCTCCCAATTGATGTTGGCTCACCAACAACTGAAGAGATTTGCGTGGCCACCAGACCAATGGAGCTAGCATGACGATTTCATGTTTGAGTGCCTGTAGTCTGCTGATCCATTTTTGTGGTGTGCTAAAATAAACCTATTCAACACTTCGAGTTCACCTTCTGATTTATAAACCGTCAGACACCATTTAGTAACCATTGTCTGGACGAGCTAATTACGAAGCCTAAGAACACGTTGGATACTAACCATCACGGCGACAGACATGAGAAGACTGGTCAGTAATTGTGTAGTGCTGAAAACGAGAGCGGAGGAAAGAGTAGGTTGAAGAATACTCGACGGCGGTTTATGCTCTATTGTGGGTAACAGGTGTAAATAAGTAGGGGGAAAATGGTCATCAAACACTGAATATACGTAACGTAATATACGTAACATCTCTGGTGTCGTCTCCAGCAAAAAACCAAATGGTTATTACTCATGTAGAATGTTCAGAAGGTACCCATTCTGAGGATTTATTCCAGCTAAAACATTTTTTCTGCTTATTTCCCACTGACTATAATGGATTACGGTCTGTCTGTCTATCAACAAGGCCTGCATATGTTTCTATTACGCTTGCACTACTGATTTGTATGAACCAAGTATAACATTACTACGAACACCTTGTACGCTAATTTTAAGCAGGCCATTGTTTTCACGAAATAAGTTTTATGAATAAATCCTAAACCTATTTCAGTATATATATATTTCGTAATCGTTAGGATTCATGATTAAAGTAGTCTCTTCAGTATGAGTAGTGCATTTTAAGTTAATTTGATGAACGAAACAGGGATTCACCAGGTGTCTTGAGGATATCAGTTTGACAACTCTTTGGTTCATAAAAGCTTTCAGATGGAACATAACCGTAACCAAGTCAAACCAGAAGTCAGGAGTTAGTAGGATGGAAGGATGGTTAGGATGTTAGGGGGCGAGTGATCTAAGATGGTTATCTTTGACGATAAATGCCCAACACAACATGCTAAACGATGATCTAGTGAGAATTCTAGACCGAGAAATTTCTACCGGGTGTATCCGGTTTAACTAATGAGGTGAGCAACAATGTCAAAGGCTTACAGAACATATCATTCATTCACTGTATCGACGTGTATGCAAATCAGTTACTAACAAATATTTTAACTGAAATCATAATTGACACAATAGTTCACTTTTCCTAAGCTATCTGATACGTTTCTGTTTTCTAGAACAGTAATTCTAAGTTATCGACTACTTATAAGTATTGGGGCCAATTACCTTGATCTCTAATCTGATCTAGACAATAGATGGGATTAAGAAGTTTATCGCTGAAACAGCCTATTGGTGCAAATGGAAATCAGAGGTGGTTATCGATATATTTCCAACGATTCCGCGATTTCACGATTCCAGAAACTCCTAAAACTTTTCCCCTAACTTATCATAGAATACGAGATCGTCTTGTGTTAGCATTCGTTTTCATTAATAATGATTTAAATGTTTATCTCTCCACTACCTCCAAAACTAATCATCCCCAGGGCCACGGCAAGAAAGTTCATATATCACGATTGAATAAAATCAGTGGAATTCCGTTTCTCACACTGAGTAATCAATGGCTACAAAGCTTTTCCAAGTGGGTTCAGCTATATCAGTATAAGTCTTCAGGGGGGAACTAAATATTCACTGAAACAATCTTATAAGATTACCAATATGATACTACCTACTATCCTTAAGGCTGAAAATAGAAAAAAATCCGGCATGAATTCCATTTTGAGTATTGAAAAAGTTTCACAACTTTTTTTTTCATGTTGAAGATTTCATTCGAATCGGATAGGCCCATGTAAATTCCATGGAACATTACCGCCAAATATTTTTCTAATTGAAGCTTAATTCAACTCTGCGAACCAGAGGCGCGCTGCTTGTAACTGTGCGCTAGGTCAATTTGCTATTCCACCAAGATGGTGGATGAGTATGTTACACCTGAGGAGAAGGTACCATCCACGCATTTTTAACTCAATAATTTTATTTTGAAGGCAGCTATATGTTCTAGATTACTTTTGCTTGCACCACCATGTGAATTTAATGAAGTGTTAGATGGTAAGCGATACTTATTGCTCAGTCATTGTTTTAGATATCCGTACTATCTCTGGTGATGACCATCAAATCCAGAAGAAGCTAGCGGCGTAAGAGTTACAGTATGTTATTTACTTCTTCTAGATCGATAGCACAGTATAATAAAGATCAAATGATTCAAGTGAAGTTACCTAATTGCGAGTATCCATCGTTGATTACTACATATGGAGACTTGGGAAATGGATATTTTATGTGTCCCAGGTCGCAGTTGACATTTCATTTCGACCATCTTAAGCAGACAGTCAGTGATGTTAAAAGCTTTGACAAGAGTATCATTGATAATATAGACCATGATTTGGAAAGTTGGAGGCATGCCCTAGAAGCTAGCGCTACTCTCTATGTAACTGAACATTTCCCTGAAGGAGCTGTTGAAGTGTACGCTTTAAGATTGAATGATGGTGCACGAGGTCTTGTTATGTGCATTCAATCTGAATTCAGTAAGCACCAATCGTAAGTACTAAATTGTCTAATTCTGTTGCTTTCTTTCGGCCTTTCTTTAAATTTTTAGTTATGTAGTTAATGTTACCATTCCTTAAAAAGTATACTAGTTTTGTGTTCAAGACTTTAATATTGACTTTTCCTTAATAACGCTTGACAGGCGAGTACATTTATATTTGATATCTATGCAAAACCATAAGCAACGAAATGACGTAGAATTCATTTATATAGAAAGTCACATTTATAAGACCTAGTGCTTTGTGGAACTAACTAACGACAAATATTCTTGATAAACATTTGATTTACAAAAATTATGCAGTTGCTCATCGTAAGTCCATTTGCGATGGTTCTAAAGGATGTCTCCTTTTTCTGTGTTCATGAATCTAGGCTGATAAATGTTTAAATCGGTTAACTTCACATCACATTCTTTGTGAGAGAGTGTTATTATGTTCCTTCATACCTATCTTCAATGTCTTACGAATTTTTTTCGTATTTTATTTCCACTGAACGATTCTGGTTTGACAAATACAGCAGATAGTGTCCCATAACTAATGTAGTGTATGCATCAATATGTTAAACCTACAGAACTTATCCTATCTTTCGGACAAACTGACTAACGTTTTCCTACCGAGCTACTATTCATGTCTTTCGATCTTGTCTATTTTTCGCTTATATCTTCGTTGTACGCTTACTTCGCTTATTGCGTGTCTGGTTTATTTTTGTCTTATGTTTAGTCATGTCTCATTACTTGGGGTTGGCTGGTTTGCCTTCGCTTCGCTTTGCTTATTGTTTTTCATTCTCGTCTGCTTGCTTAAATGAATGCATGAACAATTTATTGGAATAAATCCATCCAATCAAATCCGTATTTGGCTTCCAATTACTGCCATCGCACAAACGGAGTTCACCTAAGTATGATGTACAAAGACTGAAGGGGAGATCTATTTCATAGCATATCCGACTGTTCATAAATATGGAGTCATATCACGGGCCACTAAAATGGTGAGCTCTACATCAAATCTAACGCAGCCACACTCTATAATCAGAAATTCAGAGTATAGCTCTCAATATTCGGAATTTAGGCCTAATTGTATAACATTATAACTGAAAAATATCGCGTCTAAAATCGTGATTCGCCCGCATTTCATAACTTATCTGACCCTTTCTATTAACTGTTGCGAATCATTACTATTTGCTTTTGAAGTATCCATTCAGTCTAAATGAAAAAAATTTGTTACTCCAGAGATGTTCAGATTAAATTTCCTTTCATGTGTCGAGTGTTTCATTTCACTCTGTTCAGATAAAGAGTTGTAAAAATTTAAAGATTAACATATTTTAAGAATACTTTTCGACCTTATATAAATAACAATATGAACTTTTACGCTGATATTTTTTGTAAGTGTAAATTTTAATGGTCCTAACTTATGGTATTGAAGAAATCATGAATCCTACGCATGCTGTATACGTAAATTTTGGTAGTAATGTGTCCTTATTCATCAGCTTTTGGCTGGTCGATTTGGGTCAGTCAGGAACAACGTAGAGCTTTCTACGTTATTTGTAAAGGTAGTAGAAGTATAAATAGTAACCAGAAAGATTAGGTTTCGGAGATATTGTTTAAGGAGTATAATTCAGTGAAATAGATTTGAGAAGAGTAAGATGAAGGTCATGAGGAATTCAGGTTAGAATTTGAGACGACACAAGGAGTAGATGCATCTGCGCCATGGCAAACGATTTTGGGCCATGTCGTTCAAGTTCTCTAACCATCGGTCACTATCATCTTGCGGACCCCAACCAGGTAGTCTACATTTACCAACATGACTCAATTCAGTTGTCAGTGACTTCAAGGATTTGTGCCATGTTTTGATCTGGCCATCCCTAGCTCTCTTCCAACTTACTCCTACACCACATCATGTAGCAGAACAATATTAGCTCACGTCTACAGCCACTGATCTCAGTTATCGCGTGGTTCAGACCAATGCTCATGGATTAATCCCACGTCATAGTTTGAGCCACTTGTCTTTCCCAAATTACTCCTACACGAGTTTAGATTGCCCTTTGAATTCTGATCTAGGTGATACACTTAACCACTTCAATCAATAAAGATTTACTAGTATGCATATCTTGTTTTGTATCGACTTGCTGTAGAACTGGTCGATGGCGATCTGAATGGACTTTCAAGCTAGTTGGACAAGAACCATCAACAGGGTTTTCAGTTCATGGTGTTATGAAAGTTCAGGTTTGTTATTATTAATGAATATTTATCTTTGCATGGCTGATCGGTTTCCACTTTTTTTTACTTTCTGTATGGAGCCTTGTTGTAAAGATTGACTTTACAGATTTTCATTTATTCACTAAGTAATAATTAGCTGAGACCTTGAGCATGCATATTAGTTAGTGTGTATTATGTTCATATATATTTGAGTGTATTTATGAGTATTATGCTATAGTTTGCATGATTTTGTTGCATTCTAAACAACTAAAAGCATACTTATAAAAGAAATGTCATTTATTCTGATCATTGTGTATTTGCTTAAGTCTAAAAATTGTCGTCTTCTGTAAAAAAACAACACGGCTTTATATATTAGCATATCACCAGAATGTCTGTCTGACTTCACTTATACTACCTATATCTATTTTTAGCACCATTTTTACTATTATTGCTCTTGTTTTTAGATTTTGATATTCAAAGTGAATTACACACACACATTGTTTCTTTAAAAATCAAGTCTTATCAATCGCTTTTATCGATAGACCTTTTCCAAAACTATAAAGATACATGAATAACTCATACGCTGAATGTTGATCTATCACTCTTTTATGTTTAAATTATTCTATGATAAATTTTGACGTCCATAATAAACAATCCTTTGTGTGTGTGTGTGTGTGTGTGTGTGTAATACAACTGTCATTATAAGGTAGGTAAACTGGCCAATACTGGCTGATGATTAGACTGAAGTATTTTACAATTAAACTAATTATACAAATTGTGATTGTCTATCATTTTTGATTTTCAAACTATAATGTGTTGATTAGTTTTTGTTTATGAATTGCGTGAAATAAGTCTGTCAATCATATAAAACCTAATACATCATACTACGTCGGATGACGGAACCTTTTTCTCTATAAAAGAATGCCTTTGAAAAAGTTAGACAAATACACAAAGTCAGCAACCACAACGAACAGCATTTGGTGATGGTAGGAGTCAGTGTGCATTAAGCCTATATCCATACGTTTTTGGCACTTTTTCAATGAGATTATAATATCGTAAAGTCTGTCAATTAATAGGATCGAATTTTACTTTAAAGTCAAGAATTATGGTAGGTATATATCTGTTCCAGGAGTTAGTGCACTTAGCAGTGCTACTTTACTGTCGAATTTAAATTGCTCTTTTTTTAGAATCTACTATTTTCCAACACGCGTTCGTTGTATGATAAGACCTGTGCTATGAGACTATCCTATTTTAGCTGCTATTACTTCAGGATCGGCGTATTGTGTTGTAGATATTTCGAACCGTTGACACTCTTACTGTTATGAATCTTGCGTTGTATGACTCACAATTAACTGCACTAAAAAAAGTTAGATTAATTTATAATCATCCTAAAAATATCTTCTAACTTCATCTGATTTAGGATTTGTCAGCTTGATTCACTTGTATTCCAGTGGTTATCTTCACACTAAGATCCTAACTCAATGTATATAACCCTTGTAAACGCTCCCAATCTATCTACTAAGTCATAGAGTATATACAACTACTAACTTGTGTGTCCAGTCAGTGTAATTTATTACAAGATTTCATTACACAGAAATCTACGTAAAGATCGTTTTCATTGTTGAAGAAACGCCTTAAAGTATGCTGTAAAATTTTGTTCATATTTTCATCAGTAGAAGGCGGTTTCATGTAAAATTGGTGGTTATTCAAGTTTTAATTTTTTTTAAATGCATTATTACCTCTTCAATCTTATTTTTTTCTTTTTAAATACAAAAAAAAATTACAGACACATTTATACGAGGAGGGTAATGTTCAATTGATTTCATCGAAAGAAGTTGATTTTACTGTTACGGAATCACTTCCTAAAGAATTTGCCAAGGAATCTATCAATAAAATAAAAGCAGGTGATTGTACATATCAAGTAAGTTAAACAGTTACAGCCACTTTAAATAAATTTAAGCCATGACATTGAAAGCCTAAGACGACCACTGGTTCCAGTTATCAATAGGACCACAACCAGATGATAGTCCATATCGATTAACTTCATGGCTCAATAGTCCAGTTGTCAGTAACTTCATGCACTGGTGTTATGTTTTGGTTTAGGTCACTCTTTCATCCAGCATACTTCCTAAACCAGGTAACATCGCGCCCATTGATGTAAGCGGTGGTTACGAATATGTAACGCATGTCCCAGGCACCGATAATGATGGAGATTCATTACTTCGTCAATGAATTTGTCATCCTTACTTCATTCTCCATTCCTAACTCAGGTATTGGTTACTCAGTGATCCCAGAATGCACAAGATCAAATACTAGTAACCTACGTTTATATTTTATGCTTAATGACCATGTTTTATACTCGTAAAGTAGAACAAAGCGATTGTCATACCACATTAGCACAGAGACGCAACTGTCAGTTTCAATCCAATAGTGGTAGCGATAGTAGAAATATTAGCAGTAATGGAGATTAAGGTTGGAAGATATGATTCGAGAAGTATATTTCAGTGAGATAAATTTAGAAAGCGAAAGATAGAGATGATGAGGAATTCTGAATATTAGAATTTGAGAGACTACAATGAATGGATGCACCTGCGCCACTTCAAGCGATTTTGAGCCATGCCGTTCAAGGTCTCGAAACTATCGGTTAATTTCGTCTCACGGACCCTAGCCTGGTAGTCTACACTTACGAGATGGTGGAGAAAACTTGTAGCTCAGGTGGATGATTGTGCTGGTGTTTCGTTCTCTGAGCTGGTTGTTTTGGTTGTGTTAGACGACGGCAGGTTCATCTAGGTATCTCGAACCCTGTCACAACACATTTTTAGGCGGTAATATGTCGAACTATTCCACTACTACTATTTCACTTCCGCATTTTTATAGTTGATCCGTCTCACATTAGTGGTACCACATTGTACATAGTTTATTACTAATGACTAATCACCACATATATATATATATATATATATATATATATATATATATATATATATTACATGTCTTTTTTCTATCTCTCTCTCTCTCTTCAGACTGCTATCGCTGATAATTTTAAAACAATGTCCGATACAACGTTTAAAGCTCTTCGACGCCAACTACCTTTAACTCGTTCCAAATTGGATTGGAATAAAATTATCACTTATCAAATAGGCAGTGAACTATCTCGAGCACCACCGAGTTAAAAATGAAAGTAGTGTGTCCATTTAGAAATTATTGATGATTTTCCTTGTTATATCATACACACTCATACACACACACCCACCAGCCAGATCGATAGACAGACAGACAGTAACAGTGTGAGTGTGTGTGGTCTCTCTTCTGTTTTTTCTTTTCGACCAATAAGATGATAATTAATGAGGAGACAATTTGTTGTGTTCTAATATATTTTGATTAATTAATTAATTAATTAATTATTATTTTTTCTGTTTTTTTTAATTTTTATTTTTTAAATAATGTATAAAACTAAAACGATAAAAAAAAGCTAAACAAATTTGAAAGAAATTCACTCAACCAACCAACCAACCAACACACACACATCATATTTTGCTGATGATTTATAAGTATTGTTCGTTTTGTGTATTATTTTTTTTCTATATTGGCCAAATGAATAAAAAGGAAAAAAAAACCGTAAAATAATTAAAACTGTCCCTCTGTACTTTTCCGGTTTCCCTTCTTCTTCTTCTTCTTCTTGATAACAACTCCTATTGATGAAATCAATCATCAGACATGTGTGTGTGTGTGTGTGTGATTTTCTATTTCCCTTTCTCTAGTATAGAGTAGTGTTTGATACATTTGTGAATTGTGTTTGGAATAAGTTCATTTATATTTTTTTATTATATATATAATTGTGTTATACGCGATAGATGGGTGGTATATTTGGATTCTATTAGTTTTATGTGTGTGTGTTGGTTTTCGTTTTTTAGAAATATATATCTATACATATATATACATATATCTATAGTACTGTTAAGTTTATGTATATGAAATCAATTTGTTTGTCCACTGATTATTAACTAACATAGTAGGTGAGTGAGTATTTGTGGTTGCTAAATATATATATATATATATATATATATATTTGTATGTGAATGTATATTTGTGTCTGTCTCCTGCCACCTTTTACGACTCTGGAATTTGGCAGTGATAATTTCGTTTTTTTGTGCTAAATTAATGGTGTGGTAACTTGAACTGATGTGGGTCGCGTTTGTCAGTCAGTCAGATGCAACGTAGAACTTTGTACGTGTAAGTACATTAGTTCATGTTGCCATACCTTATCAGCACAGAGATATAATTTTCAATTCAAATCCAATAGTAGAAGAGTTAAAGTAAAGGTATTAGAAGTAATCGGAGAGGTTAGCATTAGAAGATATTATTCAACAAGTATGATTCAGTGAGATAAGTTTAGAAAGTGAAAACTAGAGGTGTTGAAGAATCCAGAAGATTAGGATTTAAGAGAACACAAAGAATAAATGCACCTGTGACATTGCGAACGATTTTGAGCCATGTCATTCAAGGTCTCTAACCATCGATTATTATCATCTCGCGGAACCCAACCACGTAGTCGACAACTACCGACATGGCTCAGCTTATGGTGAACTGTCATCGGAATTCTTTACTTCAAGTGGTGTCCTACAGGGATGTCCTCTTTCTCCACTCTTGTTTAATTTTGTCATAGATATGCTTGTAGATACAACATTATCTTCGTCTGGATTTTGAGGGATGGACATTCTACCCGGAGACTCGTTGTTGACTTTGAGTATACTGATGACGTAGTTCTGTTTGGTGAAGACGCTGACAAAATGCTGAGTCTTCTAGCTACCCTAAGCAATAATGCAAGCATGTTCGGGTTGCGGTTTTCACCCTGGAAATGCAGAATTTTGCTTCAAGAAATGGTTACATCGGCACCTGAACTTGTGATAAGTAGTGAAGTAGTTGAGCTTGTCGACCGTTCTATTTATCCTGGTAGTCTCTTAATGAAGTTGAGAAAGCTATAGAACCTGACAGGTTTACCCTTTGAGATTTTTATGGTTGGCGGTTCAGTTTTAGCAGTTTGATTGACTGAGATCTTAGTTAGAATCTACGAACTGGGCGTAATCCAATCTGACTGATCTCAATCACTGATTGTCCTATTCTCTGAGAAAGGTCAAGAGTTCTCTTGGGACAATCACAGAGGAATCAGTCTAACTTATATTTTGTCCAAATTGTTAACCTCAATAATACTTGATTCTGTTGATTTTCCTCGAAATTCGGAAACAACCGCAAACACTAAAAAAAAATGTGAAAATGAGTCATTTCAAGAACTATGTTTCACACTTTGAAACATCTCGCTTACAGTCAGTTAGTTGCAACGTAGAACTTCGTACGTATGTACATAAGTTCATGTTGCCATACCACATTAGCACAGAGACGCAGATGTCAAATCAAATCCCATATTGATAAAGATAGTAGAGGTATCGATGGTAATGAAGCAGACTAGGGTTCGAAGATATTATTCAAGAAGTATAATTCAGTAAGATAAGGTTAGAAAGACAGAGGTAGAGGTGCTGACGAATGCAGAAGATTAGGATTTAAGAGAGCACAAAGAATGGATGTACTTGCGCCATTGCAAACGATTTTGAGCCATGTCGTTCAAGGTCTCTAACTATTGGTGACTTTCGTCTCGCTTGCACATTTGGTTGGCGTGAGTGAAAAAATAAACATCATGCAAGATATTTATGTATGTTAAATTTTGTCATCCATGGGGCGGCCAATTATCTCACCTAATCTGAATGTTCAATACGATAAGTTGCAGGTGATTGACTGACTGACTGACTCTGTAAGCGATTATTTCTACTCTCTGTACATTGATTAATTAGTACGATGCTAGTCTGAATAGAATCGGTTGTTTCATCATCAGGTCAAGTGAGTTTCAATATTTTTTTATGCAACACGTATTGTAAATGAGTATGGAAAACGAGACAGTAATTTTTTTAGCAAATTACAAAAACACATACTTATACTGTGTACTAAATAAAACACGACATTAGTCTTGCGTATTCACTTTCATTTCTCTTACAAGAATACAATCACAAGAATTAACAATGCTTTCTATTATTATTCTACTCATTCACAATTCATTGTCATAAATGTGAAGTTATAATAGTTCATAGTTATAAATCACAAAACCATCATGATATTATCTATCATCCACTGATATTTCTATTGATTCTTTTTAATATCAACAAAATGTCAAACGGTTACTTTTTATATCTACCGTATCATAAAAATCGCAGTTACATAAATTCTCTCTTGTCTTCATTAGATATGTATTAGATTAGAGTGAGTAATTCAGTGGCGAAATGGAAATAATTCTACGGAAAATAAGTGTATAATTTTTAAAATAGTTAGGTGATGTATAGTAATTTTTTAAAATTATGTTTATTGCAAACTTTCCTTCACTTATTGGTGTTATATGTTATACATGATCTTAGATCAGAGAGCCGAGAGGCGTGTTATATATTTAGTCTACTGTACTAATGTAGTATAGGCTAATGTAGTATAGGCTACCCACCACCCTTCTGCAGCTAACTCTATCCTCCGCACTCCTTCGTAGTTGTTCCTGACCGCTACTCATTTTTTTTATATCGTTCTCTTATTTTCGACAGTGTTTCTTGGTTTACCACTTTACTTTTGACCTTGATGATCCCAACTGAGGGCCTGTTTTGTGACGCGATTGAGTAGTGCTTTCTGCAGTGTGTGTCCTATCCACCTTCAGCTGTTTTTCTTAGCGTTTTACTCAGTTGCGATCTTGTTTATCCTATCACACAGTAAGTTGTAGCGAAGAATGTCTGTCTGTGAAGTTACTGACAAATGCATTGAGTCGTGTTGGTAGACTGAGGCTACCTGGTTGGTGTCAGCGAGATGATAGTAATCCATGTTTAGAGACGTTGAATGGAATGGCTCGAAATCATTTCCAATGGCGCAGATGCGTTCACTCTTTGTGTTCTCTCAAATTTGAATCTTTTGAATTTCTAATCACCTTTATATTTCTGTTTTTAAGTGTTGAAACTTCATCAGTTGAGGTGGTTGGGACATGTGTTACGAATGCCTAACCACTGACTGCCTCAACGAGCTATGTTTTGTAGTGTAGGGATAGGTTAGACGAAAGCTAGGGGCGGCGAGACCAAAACATGGCAGAAATCCATGAAGTCACTGACAAGTGGACTGAGTCATGTTGGTGGATGTAGGCTACCTGGTTGGGGTCGACGAGACGAAAGTCACCAATGGTTAGAGACCTTGAATGACATGGCTCAAAATCGTCTGCAATGGCGCAATTGTATCCATTCGTTGTGCTCTCCCAAATCCTAATCTTCTGGATTCGTCAGCACCTCCACCTTTGTCTTTCTAACCTTATCTCACTGACTTAAATTTCTCGAGTCATATCTTCGAACCCTAATCTTCTTTATTACTGCTAATATTTCTACTAACTGTACCACTATTGGATTGAAACTGACAGTTGTGTTTCTGTGCAGATGAGGTATGGCAATTTGAACTGGTGTATGTATATACGTACGAAGTTCCACGTTGTAAATGACTGACTGATTGATTAGATCGCAATGCTCCTCTTTTCATATATTGTAATTGAGAACGTTTATTTTTTAGTCGTTAATCACACTGATCATTTTATGTTAAATAATCCAACATTAATTCAATAAAATTATGTTGGCACAAACCATCACCTGTCATTATTGAACTCAATAATTAATTATTAAAAATGATTTCGATCAACAACGCAAAAAAGAAAACAAACAAACATTTCATATCATCCAAAATATTTTATTGTCTGTACCAATTAATCATAAATCTCTTTTCTCTTTCTTCATAGTTGAATATTTGTTTATCTTCCTTTTGAATTCAATATCTTTTCTGTTTGTTTGTTTGAATACATGCTTAGCTTATTGATGGATGGATAGAGATTGTCTTTTGTGTAGTAAAGAGATTAATTTTGTCTTTATTAAAATAAAGAATTGTATATTTGCATTACGGGGTTGTGAAGATCGTTAAGTTACACATTTTTGAAACCATGAATCGATCAATGTTAGACCAACACCATTAGAAACCTGGAAGCACTGAAAGACGGCCGTTTCGTCCTGATACGTGACCCCTCAGTGGTAGTGCACATCCACGACTCCTGCACCCCACAGGAGTTGAACCCAGGATCTTCGGTATTGTGCGCGAACGCCCTAACCGTTAGACCACTGAGCCCGTATTCAACGGTGTTAATGTCTAACTTGATCAAATTCACGGAGTTGCGCAACCTCATACACTGTCTCCGGTAGTTACTGTCTACACCCGAACAGGTTGAACTTCACTGGTCACGTCTTCCCCCACTAGAACTCGGAGAAGATTGCTCACAAAGCTAGTCACTAGTGAGCACAGGTAATTTGCATTACGGTATTGTTGTGAACATTGTTAAGTTACACATTTTTTTGAAACCATGAATCGATCGATGAATATTTCAGCATATCCATTATTGTACTTTTATTTTTGTCAATGAATGTATAATCAGTAGGTATATTATAATTTGCATTGATTTAATTTGTGATCCTAACTACTTTTTTTCTTTTTTTAATAGTTAAAAGTCAGTGTATTCATTGATTTCTTATAGTGTTTTTCTTACAACGATTTATGTATAGATAAAAGTAATTAAGTTGTAATCAGAACAACAAATAGTTGTAGTTCATTGGTGTTTATTAAACCATTCAATAACCTTGAAAATCAAATTAAAAGTTACGCACATTTAAAGTATCGTATGATTAGAAGAAAAGTCATTCATTTATCAAAATGTACGGAAAAAACTCTCGGAGAAGAGTTTTTAAAGTGTAAGGATAATTGTAAATTTTGAAATTTACTTCAACATTAAATGTCCTTGATAATTTTTAAAACAATGGGCATCAATTCTCTGATAACTGTTATGTAACCAAAGTTATGTTATGTATAGATATCAGTTGCTTTACTTACTCCTGTCACTCCCATTCGAGCATAGGCCGCCGATCTGTGTTCTCAAACCTACTCTGTCTT